TTTTTCATTAAGTGAACCAATTGATCCAAAAGTTTACATAAGCAAGCTTTGTTGCTTGAGGACAATCAACGGTCTAAGTTTGGGAAAGTTTGATAAGTGGTTTTTGCATCACTTTTATTAGTCGTTTTACTTCATTATTTCCCGTTTTCATTCTATGTGCTTTGATTTATCGCATTTTATGTTCTGATATCATGTTTTTGGCAATATCAGGCTTTAAGAAGTATTGAGGGCAAAAGAGGAACCAAATTAAAGCAAAGCACAGAAAATAGAAAAGGGTCGATAATTCGCATATAAATACCAGAGCGCTACTACGGACGGTCGTAGCACCTGTTACAGATCGCAGAAACCAAACCCTAGCTTACAACCTTTTAAGCGAGTACCATATAAAGACCAGAGGCCTACTACGACTACCCATAGCAACTGTTATAGACCATAGGAGGCAAACGTGCTTCTCCCCAGTTTATTTTCTTTTTCGGTTTGATTGGTACTGTTTTGGGACTTTTTGTATCTTTGGATCTGAATATTTTCTAATGTAATTGGTATCGATCAGTTAGATTTAGTCCGTTATTATAATTTCTATTACAAAAATCATAGGTAGTTTTGAGTTTGGCATCTAGTTTTTATTCCAGTTTTTCATTTTCACATATTTTTACTTTTCTAAGCTCTCTACTCTAGTCTCCATTGAAGCACTAGATCTATCAATTCAAGTGGATTTCTTGTCACTCAGATTGTTTTCACTCTTATTTGCAATTGTTAATATGTGATTTTACCATTAATCATGTTTTCGATTGTGATAGCTGCTATGGTTGTATTGTTCTTCACCATGACTGAGTAGTTCATTAGGGACTAAGGGTCATGAGGCCTATCTCATGACTATTTATAGGATCTGTCACAAGTCGATTATGAGAGTTTTATTCATGTTTATTTTAATACCTAAATCATGTCACTCCAACCCTTGTACGAAATTAAAGAGTTTTTAGGCACCGATCATAGTCTGAAAGAATATGTATCGGTGCTTGAGAGCAGACTTTAAACAATCGAGTTCAATAAAACAAAATTTCTTGAATGAGATTCATAAACATCTCGTTTTTATATTTGTGCAAAAGTAAAGAATCCTTGATGAATAATCCGACTGTACGAAAGCACACAAATTATTCGTCATAGATAGGACAACATGTTGGCGAAAAACATGTGTTGTCCATATTTATCTATTTTCTATAAGTCATGTCAGAATTCTCGTAATAGAAGTGAATTGAATCATACAGAGATGTCAGAGTAAGAGTTGTGACCCTAAGTCCTGTTTGTTTCATCATATTTTAAGTTATTTTTATTTAAGCTATTTTTAAAAAAAATGTTTTTTTTAAATGTTGTTTTACAAAATCCCAAATTTCGGCCCCTCTAGATATACAACGCTAAAACAGAGTTAGGTACTCAATTCATTGGTTCTTGTGGTTTGATAATCTTTTACTACTTCGCACAGTCGTGCACTTGCGGCGTGTCATTGTTACATCCTGAGTCTAGGTACCACATGTTGGTTTGCTCATTGCTCGACTGAGTATTTTCCATTAGTAGCACCTCATCAGAATCACTATATATCTCCATCATGTGCATATTGCGCTTCATCATTATATTTTGCTCTTGCTTCCTTCTTTTTTTGATAGTCTCGAGCATAATGACCAAATGCTTGACAGTTGTATCACTACACCTCCTTCATGTCAACTTTCTTCTCCAAGTTTTCCATGCCTTTCTTGGTTGAATTAGAGTGATTCCATGAATTCTTGCTTAACTTCTCATCTTTAGCAAGATTCTTTCTTTGTTTCGCTTTATCTTTTCCAGACTTCTTGATGAATCTTGCTTGTAGTTCGTGTGCATCCACCTTCTCCCTTTCTAAGTTCCTCTACTTCAACCTCATCTCATGAGCTTCCAGTGAAGCTTGAAGTTCTTCCAACTTCATCTCAGCTAGGTTCTTGGAATCTTCGACAGACACTATAATGTAATCAAAATTTGCAATCAGAGATCTTAACACTTTCTTTATCTTCTGCAAATCACTTATCGATTCACCACATGCCTTCATCTGGTTCGTCCTAATCTTGAAAAGAAAATCAACAATCGATTCATCTTCTTTCACATGTGTTATCTCAAACTGCTTTCCCAGCATCTGTAACTTCACCCTTTTTCAGCTTTCCATCTCTATCGTACAAGTTATTCAACTTATCCGACGCTCCTTTAGACCATTCTTCTTCAACAATATTCTCGAATATGTTAGGATCCACACACTAGTGAATCAAGAACAAGGTTTTTCCATCTTTCTTCCTTTGATCCTTGTGCGCGCCTTTTTGAACATCGTATGCATTTGCTTCTAATGTCGGTATTTCATCATTCACGATTTCAGTCACATCTTAAAATTTGAAGATGACCTTCATTTGTGCAATCCACCTCTCCTAGTTCTCACCTTTGAAAACTGATAAATTTGTTGAAAATTGTGTTGATGTTGTGTTTCCATTTGCCATTTCAGAATCTCACTGAATCGCAATCGGACTCGTCGATACCAATTTGTTAAAATAATTAGAGTTTTCAAGAAAGATGATGAAGCAAAAGAAGAGAGAAAAGAGAGAATGATAATGAGTGTATTGAGAGAAAAATGAAAAATATTAATGAGTGAAGTTCAAACTAAATTGTCAAAACGGTTAACTATGAACATTTTATCTTGAAATTACAACATGTTTAATTATAAATAATCAAAACTCAAGTTCAAAGCATGAAAAACTATACTTCACACAACAACTATATACTATATTCGAATCTGCCAAATACATTTAATTCTACAACTACTTCAATTAAATTACACCATCTATCAAACACAAAACCATGAATTACATCTTCTAACAAATCAATAACAACGAAATGGCAAGAAAACATTTACTAATATAAAACGGAATGATTAATTAATATTAAAGGTGTCCATGATAGGTGTATGGAGTGTAGCATTCTGATGTGACATTTACACAACATCTCTATTTTAATTCTATATCCGTCTAAAGAAGTGGTTGATTCGAAATAACAGTGTGGAGCAAACGTTGAATTGATCAATAATTTATGATTTGATATGTGGGATAAGAATCAAGAAGAAGATAACAATTATAGGCACAAAAAACCAAAACAAAAGTAATTGCTTTCCAGCAAGGAACCACTTATTTTTGCTTGATGCTCACCCGTTGAGGAATCCCAACATCTTTTTACAACTTTATTGTTAAGCGGTTTCGATTTTGAACAGCTAGAAACTTCTACATTCCACTTTCAACAATTTTGGTAATTTATCCCACACTAATAAAAAGTAGAAATATGTAAATGTATTTCATACTCACGAAATAATTTTTGTGGATATATATAACTATTCCTCATTCATAACATCAGATGAATTGCTTATAATACTTCAAACAATAACTCTAAAAATATTATTCAAATATAAATTTCATTTGTCATTTATTTTTGTAGAAAATCTATATTTTTATTACATTACAACTATTCAAAAATATGACTATAAAAAAATTATAATAAAAAATATATATATTCAATACTCTTTCTATTCTTTATTATAAATCAATTTTACTTTTTTTTTTGAATTTATTGAATATATATATATATATATATATATATATATATATATATATATATATATATATATATATATATATATATATATATATATAACAAATATATTAATTATTTAATAAATATCAAAAGTTAAAAACAAATTTATAATAAAGAACCTAATGAATAGGTAAATATTTATAATTAATTGAAAATATACACATTTTTATACTAATAGTGTGTATAATATAGTCACAAAATTTTTATTTTTTAATTTAATAAATAATACATTTATCTAACTTAAATATAGACAAAATATATTACTTATCCAATGATTTTAAAACATGTATTTTTTTTTATAATAGTAATTGAATGTTGTATGAAGTAAATATTTACTATTACAAAAATTTCGGAACAATTGTTTTAGACTAGGCAGAAGATCCAACAGCTGCGAACCATATAAGGCAATAAATCTACCATATCACTCGTAGGGTAGAAATATTATCTTGAGGTAGACCGCTAGGAATTTGAATCTAAGATCCATCAAATAGATCCTTGAATACTACATTTAAAGAATAGCTACTTGTTATAACGGTTCCACTATACAAAGGGCAACGTGCCAAATTTAAGGTACACAATTACAAATTCATCACTTCATTCACTCATCTTACTTATATAATAAATTGAGCGTTGAAGGGTTAACCTTGCATGTCAATTTCTCTCTCATCGCATTAGAAGTTTAAGTCCCCTTTTTAACCATTATAATGATTTATAAGACTATGTTTGGATAATTTAAAAATAACGGAGCGGAACAGAATATGATAAAGTGGAATGGAACGGAACAAAATATAAACTTCATTCCACTGTTTGGATATTTTACAACAGAGCAGAACTAATATCTCATTCCATTGTTTGGGAATTGAACGGAGCGGAAAACATTATAACTTTTTTATTTCATTTTTACCCTTTGCTACAATGTTGATAGATCCAACATTCTCACACTAAAATAATATATAAGTAATCATAGAAAAATATCAACTTAACACTTGAAAGAAATTAAAACATACCGTAATAAATTAAAATGTTCATAAATGAAACATGATTATTATAACTTGAAATTGCAAAGACCAAGTGCAAAAGTTTTGATCAACACCATACTGGGTATTCATAGTAATTCATAAACAAAATCAAGTTTTGCTAAAATTAAATGATAAATATATGTCTATAGTAGATAATGATATCAAGTCTTGCTAATAAAAAAGACAAATATTGATCCATAATAGATAATGACTCTCTTCTTTAAACATTCCACAAAACCTGCAAAAATAAAATAAAATAAATTACGCAAATATTTCATTTGTTAAAGATAAAAAAATACTCAAAAGTGATAAATAAATATGTTACCATTATCAAAAGGGATAGTCTGGAACAATGAGATGTAACATTTCCTTCCGCTTATCGATTGGAATTTCATTAAAAGCTTTCAATGCATCGGCATTCTTAACAAGGTACATGTATACAAGAGGCAAAGAACTTGGTTCAACCCCAATCTCGACCAATTCAGCCCAAATATTTCCACCATTAGCATTTTTACTTTGTTTGACCAGCTCCATGGAATTCATTTCAAACACATCAACCATTTTTTTGAAAGTTTTGGAAATCTCAATCATGCTTGTATCATCTTCAATAACCTTCTTTACTCGCTTCTTAGTCCTAGATGATGATACATCTTGAGAATTGGTAATAGAAGGCCTTGTAGGAGAATTATTGGAATGATGTTCATCATCATCACATCCCTCCAAAATAACTTCATTGGTTTCAACTAAGTGGTATATTTCTTTGATGGTTGTGCCATGACTTTTTTCAACATTTGCATCCTTTTTTGCTCTCATTTCAGCAGTTGTACCTTCATGCTCTCCTATTGCCTGATCTTTTCCAAAAAGTTTGGCCAATTTATCATAAAATAGTATTGGCTTGTTTTTCCATTCAGCAGCTTCGGGTTTTGCTTACACCAAAATAAACGAAACAATGCATCACTTAAAAAGTTTTTAATGAGTGAACTCAAATAAAAATAATCGGGTAAGTGTATGAAACAATTATAGTAAATAATACCTCAATTAGCTTGTTTCAAACTTCATCTTCGGCAATCCACATATATGTTGTTGGATCCCATCCAAACTCACTCAAGCCATTTTAGAAAAGGTCATAACAAGAATTGAACTTTGTTTTGATGTGTTTCATGTGATCTTTTATTTTTTCTTTGGAAATTGGTTTGTTCGGAAAGTGAGTCTTCAATTCTTTAAGAATGCTATCCATAACGCTTGTTGTCATACTATTACCATTTTTATTTCTCAATGTTTGTTGATGCAAATATGCATCAAGCAAAACTTCATCCATAACAGTTGTCCAATTGCATGTTTCTAGACTTTTGAGTTTCCTTGGCCTTTTTAAACTTACTTCCATGTCTATTATTAAAAAACACAATGAAGAATATAATAACTTATGCATAAATTCAAATGTAAAAGTTCATCATACACTAAAATTTATTCCACAAATTACAAATAAAAAATTCAATCCAAATAAAATTCTTCAAAACATTATTCATAAGAGTAACAAATCAATAAGAATACTTTTAATAATGTAGCCACATAGAACCAACAACATTATCTCTAATTGGCTCTCTGCTAATCATATCATCGTTTTCTTCTCTATGATCTTGATGACCCTCTTGAACATCTCTTTCGTTTGCAAGCTCATCTTGCACCTCATCAATTAGAGTTTGATTGAGGTCTTCAGCCATCAAATAGTTGTGTAAAATACAACAAGCAAGGATGATTTTATTTTGAGTTTTAATACCAAATGTAGGCTCTGTTGCAGTTTGTAAAATTGAAAATCTTTTCTTCAACACTCCAAATGCACGTTCAATAAACATTCCTAATGATGAATTTCGATGGTTGAATAACTCACGAGGGTTTCGAGGTGGATTTCTAGAGTATTCTTGTAAGTGGTTTCGTTCTCCCCTATACGGTATAATGAGACATGCTTTTAAAGGAAATCCCACATCACCCAGATAATATTTTCCTTAAAAAATTAATGAGTCCATTAGTTTAGCTAATCTAAATACTTATACAAATATTTTTTATTACTTTTTATTACCTTGTGGAACTTTAAAAGGGTGTGCGTGTGTCAACGCACTCTTAACTATTCTTGAGTCAGAAGCAGTTCCTTCCCATCCAACCAAGACATATGTAAATTTCAAGTCAAATGAGCATACAGTTAACACATTTTGTGTGGGATAATCTTTTCTACCACGGTATCTAGGTGTGAGTTCTATTGGAACTTTAACACACACATGCGTGCAATCAATTGCTCCAATACAGTCTTGGAATTAAATTTATATATTAAAAGTGTACAAGAAAAATAATCAATATTTGTATAAGACAAAAAATTTGTTTACCTTAAAAAAAGAGTAGAATCTATGGTTGTTAAGTATCTGCGGAGGCACTTGTGTTCCATCAGGTTGTTTTAAAAAATTTCCCTCCACCTCTATCAAAGCATCTAGCACTCTATGAAAATGACGACTAACAGTTTCACCGGAGCCTCTAAAAAAGAAGGACATCACACGGTTTCTAACATTATGTCATACTATATGAAGAAATTTTGCTACTTGTTTTTTGATAGACGCTCTTCGTGTATGTGTAAGTCCACCTTGATCTTGTAATAAGGTGCATAAGTTTAAGAAAGCTTTGGGACCCATACGAATGATATCATAACATCGCTCACTTCCTACAATATGTTTCATCAACTCATTTTTAACTTTCTCTCTTTACTCTGTGATTCTATAAGGTATTTGGGATCTTCTATGCTTGTTTTTTAGCGAACATATTAGAATAATAATGATAGATACTTGAAGAATCATCATTTGAACAAATTTCATATACTTGATTTTTATGTCTTCGTTAGTCATCTATAACAAATTAAACAGTAAAATTTACTCTAACTATAAATCCATATACAAATAAATCAAATTAAAATATTTATAACAAATAAAATAAATCATATCAAAATCAGAACAAATAGATTAAGAATTTTTAAAACAAATCAAATATATAATTTCGATCCCAAATTAATTAAGAATCTTTATAGCAAATTAAAACTTATGTTACTAATAATTATTTTCCTATTATACTACATAATATTATTAGCCAATTTTATGTTACAGTAACTAACTTTAGTTTTTCTCTATACATAATAAGAATACAATCAACGTGAATAGTAGTTGTTCTGGCCTGGGCCCCGGCGTGGCCAGGCAGGCCCAGCCCAGTAATATCCTGCCAAGCCCAGTCCAGCTTGGGCCGCAGCGCACGAGCACAAGGTTCCCGACGGGCAGGGAATGCCCCTCCGCAGGCAGAACCCACCCCTTCTGTGTTGAGCACAAGACTCTCTCGTCGACCAGACACTGCCCCCTCCGCGGGCAGAACCCGCTCCCTTGTCGGGCAGGACAACGTGTCCTTCACACGTTCTCCACGTGCTCCCCTCCGCGGGGACACGTCACAAACCAACTGCCCACCTCCGAAAGAGCAGGTCAAACCCACTTTCCGGAGATAACGGGACAGTTGGACTAGGGCGAAGACCACGTCCTGGTCTTCACTATGCCACATAAGCCCTAGCAGTCACCTGGGTTGGGCCTGGCAATCAAGCCCAACACAAGTGACCGTTGGCCCAGCGTTGGGGTCTCCCTATAAATACCCTCTTCCACAAGAGGGTCAGGTAATTCACTTCTTACCCCTTTTCTGTATTTGCTCTCACTCTGCCCAATTCCTTACTTTGACATCGGAGTGCCTTGCAGGTACACCCCCTCTTCCTCTTCAACACCGGTGAGCAGGCAGCAAGTCAAAGACGCGTGGTAGCCAGCGATCCCTTTCTGATCAGGTCAGATCAATAGTGAAAAGCAATAGGAACAGTAGTTTTGCAACAAATCTAATTTCTACTTTTGTTCTTAATAAAAAGTTAATTTAACATACAAAACACTATAAAGTAACATAAATCATAATTTTAGGTTTTGTTTTTAGTAACTATACCTAATTTCTGAAAAATGAAAAAGACATGAACATGAAGATAAATCAAGATATTTAATTTAATAGAGCACACATATAAATACAGGTAAAAAAATGAGAAGAAATATGATGTACCTTGTTAGGGTAGAATAAAGATATACTCTTTGCAAGTAAGAAGAAGGCACGTGAAAGAGAAAAGTTGCAATGAATGAATAGAAAAATATCACGTTGATTGAAATAAGGAATATGAACGGTTAATAATAAAAGTGAAAATTTGGAGTATAAAATTGTAATTGTTTTATTAATTGATTCCATTCTATTGGATACACCCCAATTTAAAGAATGAAAAATTGGCCAAAATAGTGGTATTGGATAGAATGTGTTCCATCTTACTCCATTCTATTCCATTCAATTTTTGTAAATCCAAACAATAGAACATAACTCTACTTCACTCCACTCCATTTCATTCCATCTCTTTTCATCAATTGTAAAATAACTCATCAATCAAATGAGACATCAAGTAGATACCATATCCTACTCAGTTAACATAAAATCTGATTTTAGGGTCATTGATTCAGATGCTAATAACCCGACATGTTCCTATTTACATTAGTTTTGTTCATATTATATAATTAGATTTATAAGTATTTACCTAATGGTTCTTCTATCGTAGCGAAATATATTGGTAGTGACTTTTTCACCAAAACTTTACTTAACATATGTATTGTATATTCTTGATTTTTTTTTACTAAATCTCATGTCAATTTCTAAGTTATGTTACTCTCTTAATCATGTGCTTCATTTTTTGATAACAAATTCACTTTGTAGGATTTGAATTCATAGAGGCGACTGGCTTTGCTAGTCATGTTAAAGGACAATATAGGCTTATCATAGATGTTGATGCACCAGTTTCTTAGGCTAGTTCTAATAGTTTTTTTTTTGTTTCTAAACATAGTTTAATTTTTTTTTCTTCCATTAATAATGGTAGTGTGATACCTGCTCAAGACTTATGACATTTTAGGTTAGCTTATTTGTATCATGATAGACTTCATAAACTTTCTCAATCATATCAAAATATTATGAATGATGATAAAGAAGTTTGGATATTTGTCACTTTTCTAGAAACAAAAAGCTTCCTTACAATTTCAAATTTTCTAACACTAGTCATAAATTTTAATTACTGCATTTTGATATATGGAGCCTTTTATCTACTTGTTCCATTCATGGCCATAGTATTTTCTCACAGACCTAGATGATTTCAGCATAAATGTTTGGCTTATCTTATTTAAATCCAAAGTAAAAGTATACACTCATGTTCAAAATTTCATTACCCTGATTGAAAATCGATTGCATTACATGTCCTAAATTTGTCAAAATTGATAATGGTCACGAGTTCCTTATTTTTCAATTGTATGCATCTAAAGGTATCATACATCAAAGATCTTTCGTAGAGTCACATAAGCAAAATAGAAGGATTGTAAGAAAATATCAACACCTACTAAATGTAGGTAAAGCTTTATTATACCAATCCAAACTTCCAAAATATTTATGTACATATGGAGTCTCATATGCCACCTTCATTATCAGTGGAATATAAACTCCTTTGTTAGATGATAAATCATCTTATAAAATGGTTCAAAATTCCTTACCTGATATGAGCCAAATAAAAGTATTTGGTTCACTTTGTTTTGCTTCCACTTTACAAAATCATAAAACTAAGCTTGCTTGTAGAGCAAGAAAGCCCTTGTTTTTAGGATACATTGTTGGTTTCAAAGACTCATTCATACTAGATCCTCATTCACGAGAAATCTTCATATCTAGAAATGTCATTTTTCATGAACATATACTACCATACCATATTCAAAATCCATCTGCCACACATAATTGGGAATACTTTAGTGTCTTGCATAATAAGTCAAAGTCTAATTCATTTAGATACTATGTACATGAATCACCAGCTTCAGACTATATTCATCCAACTCTTATCATAGATCTCACTACTCCCACACTTTATAATGTCCAACTCTTATCAAGAGTAAGACATCAACAATCACATCTCTAAAACTATGTACGTGATTCATTCAATGATACACCAAATCAATCTTCTTTAAGTACTCTCTATCACTTATCAAATTTTATTTATTATTCATAATTATCACATTTTAAATTTCATTTTATACTCTTGTTGACCACACATACTAAACCTAAATCATATAATGAGGCGAACATGTTTGATTGTTAGAATCAAGCTCTCTTGATAAAATGGTGCCTGGGAACTTGTTGATCTTATACCCAATGTTAAATCAATAAGATGTGGATGGGTCGTTAAGATTAAGCACAAATCAGATGGAAGTATACATATATTCTGTAAGTTCAGAGTATGCCTAAGAAGGGGTGAATTAGGTTTTTAGAAACTTTTTCCAGTTTTTTAAAACTCTTGAATTTTTCTTCTTTAAGTTCTTGGTGATGAAAGCAGTAAAGGCAGAAATAAAAATGAACACGGAGATTTATAGTGGTTCCCCTTACAATCCGAGAGTACTCCACTCCCCTTTCAACATGAAAGAGAATTTCACTATCAATGTTAGATTTCTACACAAGACAATCCTAACAACTAAGAACAATCCTCTTGGATTTACAATATTTTAAGTCCTACCGAGAATAAATATCTCACACAAGGACCTCTTGTATCCATAATCCGGATCACAAGGAAAACTCTACAAACTTATCTTTTATAATTCTAAGA